ATGATCTCTGAAAAATGGAATAAATTCTCTCTTAAGAGGATGCTATTCCTTTACTTGCTTGTGTCTCCTAATAATTTTTCAAACATATATATATTTTAACATAGAAATTTTAATTACTTAGTCGGCCTTGTCAATGTTTATCTGTTAATCTAACCCAACCTGCCTTTGCATTTTCAGAATTTCGGTTTTGATTGTAAACTGGTGGTCAATTATGCCTGTTCTATGGCATGGGGCTAAGTCCAAAGATGATGGATCTACTGAGAGTCTCAGATAAAACTGTCAACTACGTAAAATCTACACACTTCATTTGTTTCCTTGAAATTCTCCATTATGAATAGTCCTTTTTAGAATCATCTTTAATATTGCCTTTTTTTTACGTCTTCATATATGAAACAAGGATTCTTCCCTAGCAGGTACTAGCTTCTTACTTCCGCACGAGCAAGGTAATATCGTGGGCGGTATTCGGTATCAACGTGATAATTGTTCAATTCGTTATCATTGATTTGTAATTCAAGCCAATGGGCTAATGATAATCACACCCTTTTGTTTGTGTTTTTCTTAATACAAAAGAAATCATAGTTTGAGTTTTAAAAAAGGTTTCAGTTTGTCAACGTTAAGATTCAAATTTTATTTTAGCAATAATGGTTTCATTGTCGAATATAAATTTCAGTGCTTGGGGTATAGGAGGACCAATATATTGTCCACAGCATACATTGATGGGAAGATGGATATTTTCTTTATAATTCAAGGCAGAAGCCTAAAGGGAAATATCTATACTTCTTAAGGACTATACCATAGTCAAAGAAGTAAAGTCATACGAGTTTGAAACATGTTTCCTCCAGGGAAGAAGATAAAAGGTAGGTTATCAGAGTGGGTGACAGCAACAAATAGATAATCTTCCAGTGGCCCTACACTGTTTGGTTCACAACTTTATCACAACAAAGCAATCCTAGCCACAGCTCTTGAAAGCTAAGGTATTGAAACTGACCCATCATTCAAGTGCATTTTTTTTACTGATTCCATTATTGAGACCTCAACTACCTGCAGGTGCCAAAAAAAAAATCTAGTGTTAGGAAATGGACAAATAAATTTGTACGAAATGTGAAAAAAAGACACAAAAATGATGGGTGGGAACAGGGTTTTAAATAGAGGTTAGTCGACCGCAATAGCGCCTGCGAAATAGCGGTAGCGCTGCCTTTCGATATACCCGTTATACCCGCAATCATGGTAAACGCGACATGACTGAAAATACGACCGCGATTTGAATCCCTGGGTGGGAATCGAATTTTGTTTGCACTCAATGAACCCTGGGGAATTGGATGTAAGATCTAACCAAAACCCATCGTTGTTGTTGTTGTTCCTTGTTGTCCAATCCCCTAAGAATTGGTGCACTGGTTTTTGAGTTTCTTCATTTTCTCTAACTTGATTGGCTTAGCCGACTTGATATCAGTGCCCAAAACAAAGCATTGCTGGTGATGCTGCTCTTCGTGTTGCCCAAAGCTTTGAACCATTGTCAATGGCGGATATGAATCAGGTATAACTCTTACACTCCTTGAAGCCTCAGGGAAGAGAGATCTTTCATCAATTCCTTCCCTTGTTCCATGATACCTATTAAATAAAGAACAAACAACTTTTTACAGATATTATACAAATATGCAAATGTAAAAGGGTTTATCCAAGCTATTAAAAAAAGGAACCTGTAGTCAATTCCAGTTGCAGAATCCAGGAAATGGAGACATGGAACTGATAAGCCTGAACCAGGAAGTCTTGTGGAAGAATGGGAAAAAAGAAAAGGGTCGAAATGGGTGTAGGTTTCCGAAGCCATGGGAGAAAAAGAGAATGTAGTAGAGCTTGAAATGGAAAGGTTACTATTGATTGATGGGACAGATGTTGAATGGGTTGAGCCTGTTGATGTTGATGATGAGGAGGAGGCATTAACTTCCACGGGCTTTCTTGAACGGTTCCTGCCTCTATGCATGTGCCTCTCACAGTACTTGGAATCTGGGTAAGCTTCTTTTGAGCACCTCCATTTCTTCCCATCTGTTCTCCTGCACCTCCTTGGCTCTGGCACTGGCTCTGTTTTCTTCCATAACCAACCTGATAACAATCCCACCCTGCTGCAACCACACCCACCACCACACCATGAGTGCTAAAATCATTAGACATGTATGTATGTATTGCAGATACTTACTGTGTTGTTGAGGGGGAAGGTCTGGAGCCAAAGAAGAATCAAAGCTTGTTTTGACACAGTAAATGAGTTGAGGTGGGATAGGAACTCCTGAGACCATGTACTTGAAGATGAGAGCTTGGTGTTCAAGCTCTTGCCATTGATTTGGGGTGAAAGGGCACTTGTTTCTGGTACTTATCATCTTTAAATTGAACCAATAACTAACCCCAAAAGTATATATATGTGCATATATACAATTCTCTGATGGGAAGTATAAGAAGAAGAACGAAGACCCAATCTAAAGGGCTCTCTGATGGGGTGAAGGGGCTTATTGCTTCTAGTTGTGCTGCTGCTTCCCTCTGTTGCTGCTTTTAATCGGCCTGACATCTTCACAAAAATATCCATAAAAGAAAAAGGAAAAACAAAATCCTATAATCTAATTCAACTAACAAAATAGTTTAGTATAGATATTATAGTCGATATATAAATATATATAATATGATTTAGGATATCAATGAATACAATTATTATTTCAACCGTGATTTTACATATGTTTATTATTAATTATGTAATGCCATGCTAAGATGTTAGTTCATTAATTAATCGGATATAAATTTATATATTGATAATAGACGAATTTTTTGTAAGCACTTAATTTTTGTAACAATTTAATGTATTGTTTGTACTAATCAGATTTTTTTTATATAAATTGAAAGATATCATTTCAACAGTGGTTGAATTCGTGTTAACCAAGTCCAGGGCAATGCAGTTGCATGGCAATGACACTGCGTTTCTTTTATATTTTGGGCCAGATGTAATGACATTGCTAAGCCCAAACATATAAAATATGATTGTAACTATAATTAATATATTTATAACATTTCATAAATAAAATTATAAATACAATCAGTGCACCAGTATAATCATGATCAAAATCTACTATTACAAAATATAGATAGACGGTATGTTAACACGACGAAATCAAGAGGAAGAGAGTTCACTTCCAAAACGTGCATTACTGCCCCATGCATTATTTTAATTAATTTTTTTAATGTTTTAACAACGTCTATCTTTCATTTGATCAACGATTATCATCGATCAACTTGAAAATTTTGTGAGTTTTTGGAACTCCGTTTTCTATCAAATAGATCATGAGACTTGAAGAATCAGCTGAACCAAATCCGACCCAAGATCACGTCTTGGATTGGCTCGAGGATTCTGCTCCATTCCGTCCGTCTTTCTAGGATGTTCCATACGGCTCAGGCGATATCGATGGTGGGATCATAATCAATTCGGTCAAGATCCGATTAACATTGGTGGTACTGCTGCAACTTTAATCAACAGTCCCACCATTACTGCTGCTGTAAGTAATATTGATACCAGTCTTGTACAGTCAGATTCGGCTGATGTTAATCCTCCTGTGCCATCGAATTCATCGAAGAGGACATCCTCTGCTGAAAATAACCATACGAGGATTCCAAATCTTCAACAGTTGAAGAGTCAAAACCAAAGGATCAATGAGAACGGAGGAGGTAAAGCAGGAGTTGAGGTTATTAGGAATAATAAAAGGTCAGCTGGAAACAAGAAAAAGAAGACTTCAGGGAATAACGGAAAGAACAAGGAAGATGTGCCACAGCAATAACCGCCGGTAACATTTTGTTCAAGAGCCTGATAAGGCTCATACTGTTCATAGTCTCGACATCGGTGTTATCTCATGGTGTTCAATGGGCCAATGCTTCTTCAGGCCCTGTCTCACCATTCCTGAGGGCCACCTTCTTCGCTGGTTCACATAACGGTTGTGGCAGGCACAGCTGAAAATAACCAAATCAAGGATCGGTAGGTCCACCTGGTCCTGATTTCTATTCCCGATTTCCAAGTTTCACCAAGTCCATGAACATCGACTTAAAGATAAATAGACTCGAAAACCACCCATCATTCACCTGGAGAGTCCTTCAATGTTTGTGCACAGTTTAGACTGCATCATCTGACTCACAAAGGGCCTGACCAAAGAACTGAGTTTCTCAAAATACTAAGAAGCCTAGAATAGAAAGGGGTGATCCTGAGAAAAAACATGGATTGCAGCTGCAACAACTGCAGAGATTTCACGATATGGTTCTCGCAGAGAGTTAAATACCTATGTAAGTTTCTGGACTCAACAAGCTAGACATTCAAAGGACAAGAGAGAGAGGAAAGACGAGTAATGGAAGGAGAAGCGGCGAAGGCGTTAACAAAAGGAGAGATGTATGGAGAAAGAAATGGTGCAAGAGGATGTGAGGTGTTGGGTTTGCAGAGAAGACACCATTGATGGGGCTCAGCGTTGCTGAGGAAGTATGATAGTAACTGGGAGACAAAAGTAAGAGAAAGATGATGTGTTGGGTTGTGGTGGAAACGGCAGCCTGTATCGTTTTGTTCATTGAGAAAGCTAAAAAATAGTTCTAGATATTGGTCTGTTTTGTTTATTTTTCTCTAATAAGCCTTGCTGTGTAAAATTTTCAAACAGTTCCAAAGATCGGTTAAGCGATTGATAAGCAAATCGATAGAAAAGTTATGAAATGCAACTAAGCCAACATTGTCGATCGTGCATCTAAAGACTTCAAGTAACATCATAAAACACTCAGTTATTGGCTAGTCTTTATTTCATCTACATGACCAATCCATCATGATATCATAGACTTCCATCGAAATAGAAAAAAAACCAAACGCTAAACTAATTGCCATATTCTTCATCCAAACCATAAACCAATAACTAACATACCATCATATTCATTCGTTCAAAATGTAAACCTAAAAAATCAACTGTTAGCACCAACCTCAGTAATTTAACATTATATAGGAAAATCGAAAGGTCACATTTTCCCGTAGTTCTTCTCTAGGCATATACAAACTACTTGTCTTTCCCAGCCAAAAGGATTATGGACAAGAATCTCTAGTATGTCATAATTTAGTTATGGCTTCAACTATAGGGAATGGTATAGAAACTGTACCTGAAGTTTTTTCATAATATGCCGATGTCAATCGTGCAGTAATTACAAACTTCAGTACAGTAATCAGCATATTAAGATGCATATATACGCACTGAGCTACGGATTGCCATGCGGCAAACAGGGCACTTGGGCACTAATTCCCTTTCAACTGATATAGCACAATGTTGGCAACAAACCAGGTGCCCACATGGAATAAACGCAGACCGTCTTCTCCTCATCAAGCAAATCACGCATAACTCTCCATCTGGAACTTCACCTGTCTCTTCCTCCAAATCAATCTGAGAGGTGGAGTCATCAGAGGCAGCACTGGTTGACTCTTGAATCCGTCTTTGCCTCCTTTCTTTCCATTTATTCAAGTTACTGAAGGAAATTTATTAACCAAACTATGTTCATATTTAACCAAGTAAACAAGGCAAATGTGCATAACTGCACGGTTTTTATAGGAGATGAATTGAATGAAGCTTTCAGCAGTATGATAAAGAACAAAAAAGATCGCTAGACTAAAACAAAATACCTCACAAAAGCATAACCAAGGATACCGATAGATAGTGAGCCAAGGACAATACCACTCCAGAACAGTATTTTTGACTTGAAGGCAAGATCTAACAACATCTGATCTTTAGTCATCTCAGTACTGCAGTTGCAAGCAAGAAGAGGTTTGTAAGATAAATGTTTGAAGAAAGACATCCACATATGAATTTAACCTTGTCTATGGCAACTCCTTTTCTTTTCTTCTTGCTAAGCAAATAACAGAATGCAACATGAAACTCGAAAAAAAAAACCAAACTAAATTACTAGTACTTAAAAGTATCAGGAAAATCCTAATAGAAAAGTGATAATTTTCACACAATGCTAGGCTTTCCCATTTCAGATTATGGGCACGCAAGCATGAAATTCCAAGTCCTATAAGTAAAAAATTAAAAAGCTAAACAAGTGCTGTCTTCAGAACACTTACAGAAAAAAGGGAAGGTCCTTGCATGCCTTAATTTCAGGCATTCCGTTATTTAATAGGCATATGCCAACAGCACTGATTTCCTTTCCCAAGGGAAGAATTTTCTCTTCATCTAGCAAACCAACCTGTAAAAACAGATAAGATCATGAATTTTCATACAGGTGGGCATGCCTCTATAAAAAATAATGCAACACTAACAACGATAAGCAACAAATATCTTTCAATCTTCAAATGAAGTAATAAGATCTCAATTTTTCATAACTCACAGGGTATTCATGACCAAACAAAGCCTGAAGGAATGTATACGGTGAAGCATTGATTGGATGCAGTTGATGATAAACTGTAGTGAGAGGCAGAGGATGCTTAGAGCCATCCATGTTCACAATGACAAAATCAGATAGTGGCCATTGACCGCCATCAATCAAAATGAAAGGAACCTGCAGAATATGTAAACAGAAAACAGAATAAAATTCCAATGCTTGAAAATGATAAACTGAAAAGAAGCTCTAATGGAAAGCATAAGATAACTAAAACAACTAAGCATTAAAAGAGAAAAAAAAAAGATTCACTTTTTAAAATTAAGGGAAAATTGAAAGTTTTGATCTTACTGTTCTCATTGAAGTTGACTCTTTTTTGTTCCAAGATCTCCCAATAATAGCACGTAAATCAGAAGTCCATCCAAACAATCCCCTCCATTCATGATAAATATACTTAAATTTCAAAAAAAAAAAAAATCAGAACTCCAATAATCAGATTATTTATAAAAAATAAAAAAATAGCTCTTTTTGTTTAAGTCCTTACAGTTTGCGTTCTTTCGATGATAACAGCTTTATCACCGGACTCTTGAGAGACGAGCGCGTTATTCTTAAGACCCTTCAAGCTCCGTCCATCGGCGGATGATCTAGCCTCGACGGCGCCGCGAATGACGACGATAGGTTCGTCGGCGAAATCCGACCTGTCCTCTTCGAGAAGGGAACGGAGGTCGGCGACGCGGATGTACGGTGCGCATCGGATTTTGAGCAGGGCGTTTGAGGTCGCTTTGAACCGGAAGATTGTACGGAAGGCAGCGTAGGCTAGGGCAGCACCTAAAACGGCGCCGTCAAAAGAGAAAGCTAGTTGTGAGATTAAGGAAGCAACGGCTTGTTCATGCGAGGACATATTCGTAATTGTTTAGTTTTTCCCTTTTCTTCTACATCGGAGGTCAATTAATCAGCGTTTGAACAGAAGAAACCGACGACGGAGGGAGGGAGACTGATCGAGCGCACGAGAAAAAGACAGAGAGCAAGGAAGTTATTTTTTAAAAATAAGTTAGACAATTCGAAAAATGTCGATAATGTCTAAGGGGTTTTCTATTTATTGTAAACTATGCCATTAATTTTAGGTTTGATATTAATTATTATACAATTGCAATTTGCAATACTAAATTTTTATTTGGTAAACTCCTCAAATGGTCACTAATGAGTACGTTTTTATTTTTACCACTAATATTTCAAAGTCACAAATTGATTATTAATATTTTTGTTTGTTATAAATTGATCACTCGACGTTAATAGCCGTTAACGTAGGTGACGGAAGACTTACATGTTTCGTTAACTGCTTACTTTAACCGTTGACTGTCACATTAGAGAGTCTATTGATAAGTGATTCAATTGCAACCTTCTCTCTCTCCCCCTCAACTTTTCTTCTTCTTCTTCTTTTTTGTTAAAAATAAACACGATATTTCATTTATCAAAAGTCATATAAACAAATGTCATGTCAATGCGATAGACTAAATAAATACATTCAAAACTATTGAAAATAAAATATAACAATGATCGTTTATAGATAGCATATAAACAAACCATTAACAAGTGAAGCAATGACATACAAAAACTGAACAAAATTATTGAAAATAAAATATAACAATTATCGTTTATAGATAGCATATAAACAAACCATTAACAAGTGAAGTAATGACATACAAAAACTGAACACACCAACCAACGGCTCTGAGCAACAAACATGGAGGAGAGAAACTTGAAAAAGAATCAAAATGACCAACAGAAAAAACGATCTCCCCTTAACAGTAATCTTATCCGGGACATAGATGCGATAATCAACGAATCGGCTTGAACAAACGAACAGAGTAATCATGTATCGGGAAAGCAACAACCATATATTAAGGAAAATAAAAAACCTAGAAGAAGACCAACAAAAACCTACATTGAGAGTCTAAAAACACCGGTAGCTATGATACCTTTTACTTAAGAAAGTGCCAAGAGTTATTGAAAACTGTCCATGAAAATTTGTAACTTCCGCAGAGCAAAAGAAAGTTAAATTTAAACATAACTTTTCTTCTTTTTTAAATTGCTGGAAATGGATGAAAAAATTGCTCGACTGTAACGCTTGGTTCCACCACTTCCCTCAACAGCACATCCCGCCAATATGACTTGTTTTTCTTCATCATCATCTTTTGAAATTCTGCATAATTTTACTTATTCTGTTACCTTTTTCACTAAAGAACCACACAGTTACACGGTGATATCGAGTGCAAGTGTGGCGACTGGAACCATAAACTATATTCCTCACTACACGGATCAAAGATCTTCAATGGCTCTTTGGGTGTTGTTCGACCTGTGGACATTGAACGACTTCAAACACAGAAATGCATGTTCCATACAAATTTTAACATGCTAGACAAAGCAAAGGTTACAAATCTCGAATCAAAGTTATTGGAACAATGGTTCCAATATAATATACACTCCCGTACAAAGCAAGCGACTTATAGTATCATTGTTGCATTGCTTTTCACTAAAGAACCACCCAGTTACAAGGTGGTTGTTGCATTGCTTTTCCCTGCATTTTTTAGCTTCCAACTGTTGATCTCCATTGTTAAGTTTTGGCAACTTTTGGTTGTTGCAGGGTTCACCGAACAATTCTTTTCCATTTCCATCAATAACCTCGCCGCAAGCTTATGAGGCTCAAACTCTTATAAAGAACGCCAAGGTACAAATTCTAAAGTGGAGGAGTCGCAGAATGAAAACGGAGAGAAAAGTGAAGGAAGCAGTAGAAACTTTTGAGGAGGAGAAGAAAATTGTGGAAGAGATGACGGATTTACAATTGGAAGATAAAACCAAGAGGCTTTGGCACGCTTGTTTCAAGGCCAAGGAAGCTGATGACGGCGACATGACCATGGAGTCTGTAATCTCGAGTTTTAGCCAACGATGGCCATGTTTATGGATTGGGTAAATTAGAGCTAGGGATTAGGTTTTCATTTAAAAGGGAATAGGTGATCGTTAGAGACATTTGAATCTCTACCGTGGCAATCCAAGTAAGCAGATAACTATCAAGTTGTGCTTTCCGTCACGTCTATTAACGACTGTTAACATCGAATGACTAATTTGTAACAAATGATAACGTTAGCGATCGATTTGAGAATTTTAAACATTAATGGTGAAATAAAAAACTTACCTAAATATTAGTGACCATTTGCGTAGTTTACGCTTTTTATTTTTGGTGCAAAGGGAGTGGTAGACTATTAAAATTTAAATAATGCGATAAAATAAATGTATCTTTTCATCATTAAATTATAATCCTAAGTATACACGAGTCATCCATTTTTAACTTAATCATTTAGTTATTAATTTTTTAAAAATATATATTTAATATATTTTATAGCTAAATTATATCAGTGACCACCCAACTATATCCTATTTTCATTTTGACCATCATTTTTTTAATTTTTATCAATCAGGTCATCCAACTATTTAAATGCATTCAATCAAGCCACTTGTTAAAGTTAACAGAATTACAGAAGAGATGATGTGGTAGTTAGTAAAATTAGTATAATTACACATTTAGTCATCAATATTTATACATTTTATCAATTTAGTCCTAATGTAATTAAATTCAATATTGGAGAGCTTTTTAATAATTTTAATTTATTTAATATAACATTCTTTTCGTTCAACCAGACGATGACACGTATCATCGTTTGATTGGAGAGTTTATTTTTAATTTATTTATTACATTCTTTTCGTCCAATTATACTCTCAAAGAAATGAGAGGGAGGGATTCGGTCCCTTATCCAGGTGCCTAAAGGAGGAGACACAAGCAAAGCCATTGAGCTAGGTTTTTTTCTGTGATTTGTTTTGCATAACATTATATAAACCTATTGTAACTACTGCCAAAAAAATAAAATTTTTTATTTAGAGACTTAAATCTAAGTAAACTCTATGATTAGGAAACTCTAATATCAAATTAATACAAAATTAAATATAATATATAAACATCTTTAAATTTTAACCATTTAGGTTAACCTATTCATCATTATTTTTTAAAATCAATTATAAAATTATAAACAATATTAAATGATAATATTTAAAAGTAAAAAAAATATGTTTCATACACATTTCTTTAACTCAAAAAGTAAATGTTAAAAATTTTAAATTTTGAATTTAAAAAATTGTTTATTAGGATCAGAATTATATTTTTAAAATTTATGTGTTATCATATGATATGTTTATTTTTTTAATTTATAAACTTATAACTTTTGGATAAAAGTTCACTTGAAAAATATTTTTAACTCAAATGTAAAAGTTGAAATCATTAAATTATAATTATGAAAAAGAAAAAAATATTAAATTTCGTCAAAAAATGTAAAAATTTAAATTTATTTGTAATTTTGTATTAATTTGATATTAGAGTTCCCTAATCATATAGTTTGTTAAATTTAAGTCTCTAAATAAACAATTTTCTTTCTTTATTTTTTTGGCAGTAGCCACAATAGTTTTTATATAATGTTATGCAAAATAAATTACAAAAAGAAGCCTAGCTCAATGGCTTTGCTTGCGTCTCCTCTTCTAAGCTCCTGGACTAGGATTAAATGTCTCCCCTCTCAATTCTTGGACGAAAAGAATGTTTGTTAAATATTTTACTCATTAAATTTAATACATTGAATTTTTTTGTTACTCGATCGTTTTCTCACTAACTACGTTTTAAATGAGTTTTTATATAGATGTAAAACATCGTTTTGGTGATTTTTTTTTGAAACGGCATAATTTTAATACTGGTAACTATTTAACGACAGAGTGACCGAAAAAATCTAATTTACTAAATTTAGTGAAGAAATTGAAAACTTTTAAAGCTCAATGATCAAAATAGGAGAGAAAGTAAAATTTAGTGATAAAATTTGTATTTACCCTAAAATTAATTAATAGATCAGTCACGTTGTTTATCCTCTTAAAACGCGACCCGAACAAGTCCTCGCTTCAGCATCTTCAACCCAACTCAAATTTCGAGGTTTTCGAATTTCTCCCTCTCGGTCTTCATCTCACCCTCTGCAGCGGAAACTCCTAAAATCTCTGCTACGATCAATCTCCTCGCAAAGGTAAATTCAAACATCCTTTCTCCACCTAGGGTTTCGTTTGTTTTTAATTTTGAATATGTTTTCGTTGTTTCTTCAATTTTGTTTCTTTGAAAGCTGAGGAATTAAGCTTCATATTTGGCAATCAAATTCATCAATTTATTTGTGATGTTAAATTTAAGGGTAAAGCCAAAGGCAATGGCAGAGGGAGAAGAGGATTTGCCTAGGGATGCTAAGATTGTCAAGTCGCTGTTGAACTCTATGGGCGTTGAGGAATATGAACCTAGCGTTATCCATCAGTTTCTTGAGCTGTGGTACCGCTATGTCGTGGATGTATTGACGGATGCGCAGGTTTACTCCGAGCATGCCGGGAAGCAAACTATTGATTGCGATGATGTTAAGCTTGCTATTCAATCTAAAGTCAATTTCAGCTTCTCACAGCCCCCACCCAGAGAGGTTGTTTTGCTTGAAAATGTTGTTTTTCCCTACTTGATATTTAACTAAATTGTTGTTATTGTATATCTTGTTATTGCTTGCTAGATTGCGAATATGAGAGCGAGTTGTCTTCTGAGGGATTCACATCTCTCTCGAGGTTTTTCTACCCAAAGATTCAAACATGTGGAGGCACACCTTAATTGTGGTAAAACCTTGAGAGAGAACCTGAGGACAATTCAGATTAAGCTTTGTATGGTCTTATCGTTGGTTCAAGTCTTACAAGAAAGATGTTTCTTTATGTCACTTGACTTAGCTTGTTGAGTCTCATCATGAGTGCATAATCCGGAATGTCTTCTTTGAGTATCTGCAAGTCCTCAAGGCTTTGCCCGGCCTGAAGTTGCATCGTGCCGAGCATCATGAACACAAAACATTATTGTTCTCTTGGGGCATTCACACTTAAAGGATTTGTCAGCCAGAGGTATTCAAATTCAGAGTTGGGGATATCCTGAATTTGAATTTGGAGAGACATGCCTTCAGCTGATAAATCAGTCTGTGGCGTCTCCAAAAACAAAAGAACATTATCGACCTGTGCTCATTATGTTAGTGCAATGCAACCCAGGATTTTCTCTTCTGCACCTCCTAAAATAGCATAAATCTTGTGTTTATGTTCCTTCCCGCTTTTTCTAAAAACCAATCGTTTCATGTTCGTTCTTGTTTCAATAGCAGTTGATATCATGTTCTTGAATGAAGCTATATATGAATAAAGATTGTGAAAATGGTTTTTATGTTAGGTGCTTTTGGAGTTGGCTAGAAATAGGAACAAAGTTCCATTGCCAAAGGCAATACCGGGACCTGGAATTCCCCTACCACCTGAGCAGGATACATTGATAAGCACAAACTACCAATTTGCCATCCCTAAGAAGCAACCGGCTCAAGCACTGGAAGAGACTGAAGATGATGAAGCGAGTGTTGAACCGAATTTGTCGCAAGAAGACCGATGTGCCACACCCAACATCTCAGAGAGTATCGTTTACTCTCACTAAGCGCTCCAAGTGAGGATACGTTTTTGTACGATATTTCATCACACCATCTATGTAGGATATGCTTTAAGCTTCATCATATGTTCATCAAAGAGAAGTTGGTGTATCATCTGATATCATGATGTAATGGAATGGATCTTTTGTAATCTGGTCAAGTTTTTGCTTCCAATGTTAGTGTTGCAATTTGTGCAATATTTTCCTGTATGCTTATGAACTATGTTGGATTGAACTGTCAAGAAACATGACGCACAAAATCAATGGAATTAATGGAGGTAACGACCAAGAAATCAATCGTTTAATTCATTGTTGAATCCAGTTAATTTCATAGGAATGGAACCATATAGCTTTGTTCTGTACAAATATTTTTCATTTTAATACAAGGATAAGCCGTTGCTCCTACCTCTCCGCTTTGGATTTACCATAAAGAAAGAATTGAGGGTCAACTTCTTGAAGCTACCATAGTACTAGTGGAAGGCCCGGTACTGGAAACAGTGAGACCTCGGTTATACATGCGCTGTATCTCTTCCCTGTACTCTGTCAACGACTTGTCAGGTATGGATAGTGTTAGTTCCACCACATCACCCATCTTCAGCCTGCATGTAGCATTGCTCACTGGCTCATAGTTCAGCCTTGGCCTCAGTTCTTCCTTCACAGGAAACCCATATGGTGATGATCTCGAGCTTACCCTCCCAACTCTTTCCAGCAAATCCATCATTGTCGAGTTCGCTGGAAACTCTTGCACCGACATCTGCAACATACATAGCAACCATAACATTCAGACCAAATTTCCGTTCTCCATTAATTTATCTTTTCTACAAGTAAAATGAAACACTCCCTATAAGCTAATTTGCCTTCTATGTCAATAGAAAGATAGTAGTCTAGTATGTTGTCTGCAATGACCTGCTAACCTGAAAACAGTGAAGTGCAATTTCGGAAACATACCTTATCATTTTCAATCATGATAACAAAGACGGGCCCATCCTGGCTGCAATGAAGCTTATAAGAGAATGGGCAATCATCCGAATGACTAGGGAAGGTGCAGGGTGGCTTGACAGAATCGGTGTAGCCAATTGTACATTGGTCCTTGCTCATTGTTTCACAGTGCCAAGTCACAACCCATCGAGCCCACTCAACCATCTGCAGTACAAATGAAGAATGCTTACAGTCACCCTCCTTGTATCTCCAATGAGCTGCAAAGCCAAACTCAGCTTGCAGATGCATCTCCTTTGTTCGAATTTGAACTTCAAGTGGAATTGCACCTTCACTCATCACCACCGTGTGCAAGGACTGATACCTGCGAGTTAGAAGGTAGTTTTGCATTTTTTACAGAATCCGTCAGAACAAACTCAAACTTGTTAAGCTATAACATACCCGTTAAATTTAGGGTGGCCTATATAGTCCTTCAGCTTTCTGGGTACTTCAGACCATAGCTGGTGAACTACTCTCAAAGCCTCATAACAATCTTCCTCACTTTCAACAATGATTCGGACTCCATGAATATCATGGATTTCATCCATTGTCAACTTTTTCCTGCAAAAACAATATTGTAACTAGTGTGAACAATGGCCTACTCCTCCACCCTTTGCTTAATCAGTTGTTGACAAATTCTAGAAAAGATTTCCTGAAAGGTGTGCCTATTCTGATAGATTTTCAACTAGTTGGACTTGTAGACAACAGCACGTGTGTGCATGCGGCTGTGCAAATACAGTGCGAATATCTCTCAATTAAAGTCATGCATAGGGGTGAATGTGCATGTAAAAGAATCTCTCTGTGGTCCTCTGCCTGCCATGGGTGCTTGTGTGTGTATAAAAAGGAAATAGGGAAGGAGGGTGGGAGAGAAAATAGCATACTTCAACATCTTTAAATAAATGCTATATAAGCTTTTATGTCTTCCAGAGAGAACATGGTAAGAAATTTCTGTATCCTTCAGCGCTCTCTCAAGTTTTTCTATAGCAGAAGTGATCATTGCCTCGTCAAAGGAGTCCACAAGTCTAGATGAGAGTTCTTTGTGCTGTTCTGGATTTAGATGCTTGAAACATAGATTCTCCAATTGCTCCTTCCAGCTAGAGATTCCTAACCGGTTGGCCAACGGTGCAAATATTTCCAAAGTCTCCTTAGCAAACCTCTGTTGCTTGAGCAGAGGCAAAGCATCTAGTGTTACCATGTTATGCAACCGATCTGCCAATTTGATAAGCACCGCTCGTGCATCTGCCATGGCAAGGAACATGGTGTGAAGGCGATCTGCTTCGACAGTTTTGCTTGCCGTATTATTTTCCCGTGCTAGCTTGCTCAGATGGCTAAGTTTAGAGACCTACATGGATGGGCACGATAATGGCATGATCAAAATCTCGCAATTTCACATATCCATTCAAAAGAATATTGATTTCTATAATACAATAAAGGAAATTAAAACCAAGTGACAGCCATGAATATGCTTCCTATAATGATATAAACGCAACAAAAGCCAATCATAATACTAAAACAGTTCGGGTTAGCAAGAACATCACCAATACAGTATACAATCAAAATTCATAGTATCTCTTACCCCTTCCACTAAATCAGCAACCCCAGCACCAAATTTCCCTAAAATGTAGTCGTAGCTCAAGAATGCATCATCGAGGGTGTCGTGTAAGAGCCCTGCTGCAACCACCATGGAGTTGGCACCAATGGATGCCAACAACACTGCTGTTTCTACACAATGTTGCAAATAAGGATCCCCGCTCGCACGCATCTACAGACATATAACATTATACAACACTTATAAACAATGAAAGACCAGCAGAACATCAATGACAAAACATTAATTTCTCTGGTTATACCTGTCCTCTATGTGCCTGCTCCGCTTCGTAAAATGCTTTGATTACGATATCTTCAGAAAAGATTTTATGCCTCAATTGTGCACCTAAAAGCAATTCCTTAACATAAGGATCTTGATCTACTTCCTCGATGAAATTATCCTCCATAGAGAACGGCAATTCATCGACACAACTACCATTTCGCACCTCGGAACTCGGGGAATCATAATGAACACAAGATCCCAATGCACCCCTAATGAATCCATTGAACAAACGATTTGTCCCTACACGAAACGAGCCCTGAAAATTCACATCCCCGCCCTTTTCGCGAACAATTCGCATAGGAGGGCTGCTGCTGCTACACGAAACCGGGGCCTGAAACACCGAAACCGGGCTCTGATTGGCCTTCAAATAAGAACCACCGAATTTACTAGATGAGTAACAAAACGAACTGCTTAATTCCTTCAAATCTTCCCCTCTATGGGACCCTAAATCCTCTCCCCCGCTGCTGGAAAAGCTTGATTTTACCGTGGGTGAGGAGAAGAGGCACGATAGGCCACCGACAGCAGGTCTCTGGGAAGAACCGGAAGCTGTCGCTGAGGAAGTCGATGAAGATTTCGAACTCAGATCCAGATCATAAGAAGCGTGAGAATTCATGTTGATCTGGATAGGCGCCGAGCACACGCTGCTGGGTGTGCTCCTCGGTGGACTAGCGTAAAGAGCTATCGTCGAAACCGCCATGGCTTGCGAACAACCAAGACAAATCCCGCCAAAATAAATGGTTTTATGGTTTTAAAACTAATTAAATGTCAAAACCCAGAATTTCCCACCAAAGAAACACTAATTTTTCTCAGGATCCAAACAAATTTTCCTCAAAAGAAAAAACTCAAAAGCCAATTAATTTGTTAAAGGAAACCCAATTGAAACCTTAAGAGTAAGAACTAAAAAAGTAAAAGAAACCTCTTCGATTCTAAACGTATATTTATACTGTCATACATATGCATATATACACAAACAGAAAAGAAAAAACAAAGAATCAAAAGGAAATAAATTGTTTAGAAAAGAAGAGTGAGGTACAGTATTTACAAATATATAAGAAAATTTTCCACTAGTAAATCGAAAAACGAAATGAAAGAAGAGGGAGTCAACAAAGATGCAGGATTTTTTAAATGAAAGCTTCAGATTGAAAGAGAGAGCTTAGCTTTCCTTTCTTCTTCTTTGATTTTTTTTTTCCTTTGAATAATATTTCTTTTCTCATGGAGTTTTATTATTACGGGAAATTGCTTTGAGGCCAGGAATAGTAAGAGCTAAATTACGGAAGTACCCTTTCCTGATTAACCGACTTATCTGGTTTAGGACAATTTACAACGTTGTGGATAACCTCGATCTTTGATTAATTAAATACTTAATTATCTGCTGTCGTAGTGACTTTGTTTTAAAGGCGGTAAAATTTGGTTTCAGTCCCTATAACATACTTGAATTTACTTTTACATAATTCGGTCTCTATTTTTGTAAGTAGTAAGCTAATCCAAATAGTTCATATCATAATTTTTTAATTAAAATATTGATATTATGAGTAATTATTTGATAGAGTAGAGTCAAACCGATTTTATGAGAAATATTTTACCATTGAAATTTTATTTCAAAAATGTTTAAGTAAAATTTATGAATTTTGATTCGAGTTCAATCAAATATATTTATTTTAATTTTTGTTTATTTTTAAATATAATAATCGATAATACTATGATACTGATTAATTTCAATTTAGATGACTATTTCTACCAATATATACTATATATATTCTTCATATTCTTTTTTACGTATGTAAGGAAGATTTGTAATGTTATTTAATACATAAAATATATATTAAAATTATATAATATTTTTATAGTATTATTTTTTAGAAAAATAAATTTTATGGAGGAGCACGAATCAATCTACCTCAGTAGTTAAAAGAATGATTGTTGTTCTTAGAGGTCCAAAGTTTGAGCACCACAGACTGGAGGATATTTAAACGTTCATTTTCAAATGGTTGAGAGTCTTTAGAACAATTATTATCACTTGTAAATATCATAGATTAATAATAAAATATTTTGTAAAAAATTGATGAGGGTATAAAAGAGTTAAATAATTGATTAAAATAAATAATTTGTAAAGAATTAAACTTAATTATCAAATTGAATAAAAAATAAAATTAAGATATTAAATTAAAAAATATAAAAATTATTATTAAAAATGAAATTGAAATTACATGAGAAATCTATTGTGGTTAAACAACATCCTATCTTCGTCCAATTAAAAATGTCTTTTGTTGATTTTTAAAAGTTAAATTTTTAAAAACTTTGACCGTGATTATTTTAAATATTTAAAAAAAAAATTTATTAAATATATATTTCAAAACTACTTGATTAAAGTTTCTAAAATATAATTTTTTCATATTTTTATCAATAATATATTTTAAATAATAATGAGTCAAATTAGAGAAAAAATTGACCCAAAAGAAGTTAATAAGGGACATTTTAAATGAGACAGAAGGAACATAATTCAAATTTAATAAAAAAATAAACTATAATGAAATGATAAATTAAAAAAGTAAAAAAAAATCAATTGACAAAGTAATAAAATAATTGAGAGAAAATAACTTCAGTGACCGAAAATGTCTTATAATATATGATTTTAACCAATTTTTTGTATTTGCGAAAATAACCAACAAATTCGCAATACGATCTCAAATTCGCAACACGAACTACAAATTCATAACTCAGTTTTGAAATTCGCAACGCGATTTTCTAAATTCACAATGCGGTTTTCAAATTCGCAATACGAACTCTAATTTCGTAACGCATTTTCCAAATTAGCGTTGCGAATTTGGTATTCGCAACACGAAATTTCAAATTCGCAATTCGATTTCTGAATTCGCAACGCGATTTTCTTTTTAGCAACGCGATTTTTAAACTCGCAACAAGATTTTCTAATTCACAACACGAATTTTGTTTTCGCAACTCGATTTCCGAATTCGCAACACAAATTTTAATTTCGCAACAGTTTTTATTTTCGCAACACAAATGTTTTGGGTATATAAACTACGCAGCAGTAGTAACTCATAACCTAAATCCCTAAATCGCAATTCATTCTATCTCCATCTCTCACTCTCTCCAGCGACATCCGTTCCTATATCCAACGATATCCTTCCCCGTCTCTAATTTTTTTTACATGATTTTATTTCTATATAATATTTCAATTATTTCTCTCCCAAATTATCAACTATCAACTTAATAAAGGTGTGTTTTTCTCTAAGTTAGTGATGATATCTAGTTTATAACTCGTTTGTTTAGTAAATTAATTTACAATTTGTAGAATGAAATCATCTAATGTTGATCATGTTTGGATATATTTGTGTTGTGGAGGGTCATGAGAGAATGTTAATGGTGTTTTACAATATATGTCTTTACCCATGAATCTTCAACTAAAACTGTCATTAAAAAATTTAACTTATGAAACTCTAATGTTAGATGTTTCAAAGAAATTGAATTTAGAGCTTCTAAGTGGATTTAAGTTATCTTATCAGAGAAAAGGTAAAGTTTATTTGTTAACCGACAATGAAGATGTTGAACGATTTATTGCTTACATTAGTGTTTCGCAAGATGATGTTACATTGTATGTTGTTGAACCTAGAAGTAGTGAAGTTGGGTAAATAACGGGTAGTAATCAACTAAGTTATTCAGCCCCAGTTTATGGTGCTCACAATGTACAACGTTGTTATCAACCTTAAAATTTCATGGTTCCACCACAATTTGTTCACCAATAAAATTTTGTTTCACCACATTTTCAATACCAAACACAATCTCAAAACCTACAACCTTTCCCTAATCCAAATCCCAATCAACTTTCAACACCGAATTCCAGTTTTCGTATTGACCAGTTAAACGATGATGAGCCAATAGAAAAAAAATGTGAGTACTAGTCAGTATTCGAAATTTGATCTTGGTCAATACCCGGACTTTGATCTTGGTCAATACTCAGATTTTGATGTTGTTTCAGAATAAGAAACAGACCCTGCGTATAATGATTTTTATATTGGTCAATACCCAAATTTTGATGATGAAACAGCCGCTGCCGAGGAAGATGTTGATAATAATGAGGAGGAAGTTACAGTTGTGAATGAACATGTTGAACATCCATTCTGTAATTCATATAACCCTAAAAAAGAAAAAGAATAAGAAGAAGTCCCTGAAGAAAAGAAAAAGAAGAAAATTCCATGGGAGTATAACTGGAATATGCCAGAATTACTTCAGATACCGGAAGAAGAGTTGGTAAAGATAGTAGTTGATTGTTACACAAAAGTTATTCGTATAAAGAAAGATAATTGTTTTGATACAAAAGAAGACTTGAAGATAGATTTGTATATGAAATGTATGGAAGATAGCTATCAACTAAAAAGTTAACAAATCAAGCAAAGATCGTTTCGAAACAAAGTGTAGGATTGGCAAAAACTATACGTGGCGTATGATTTCAAAAAGGATAAAAGATTGCAAAATGTTTTAAGTTAGGACTTTTATTGATAAACATACATGTTCAATGACCCAAGTTTTTCCTCACCATAGACAGGCAAACAAAAAGGTGTTGGGTGGTTTTCTGGCTGAGTTAATGTTTTTGAATGGTAGGGTATATCGGGGACATGAAATTATGACTGACATGAATGCTCGGTTCAAGATTAGTATATCATATTCTCAAGCTTGGAAAGCCAAATGTTATGCCTTTGAATTGTTGAGGGGGTCGCCAGAAGTATCGTTTGCCCAACAGTTGGCTTATTGTCACAATTTAAAGTTAAAAAATCATGGGTCAGTAACTCATATCAAAACAGATAGAGATGGACGTTTTGAGTTGCTGTTTATCGCCATTGGTGTTGCGGTTAGTAAATCAATATAATTTTGTTGACTCATTTTTGTTAGTTACATGCATTTCACATTTAAATGATTATATTTCTTGTGTAAATTATTTTGTAGATTCGTTCATTTATTACTTGCATGTGCCCAATTATTATAGTTGACAGAGCGCATTTAAAAGGTCGATACCTTGGAGTAAACTTATTAGTAGTAGTCATGGATGCTAATAATGGGATACTGTCAATAGCTTACGGGGTTGGAAAATTTGAAACCTCTGATTCACGGACATGGTTTATGGGGCATATTAGGGATTACATAGGTCCTATTAGCAATCTGAAAATCATATCGATAGGGTAAACTCAATTGATAGCGTTATTAGGAGGTGTTTCCCATATACTTTTCATGGACTTTGTGGTGTTCATTTGTACAGAAATCTAAAATCAAGGTCTGCTGGTATAAAAAATCACAAATGGACATACTGGAAGGCTGTAAAAGCTTATCGGGAAGTGGATTTTAATAAGCATATAAATTGTTTAAGACGTGTTTTGCCTCAATGTGCTCAAACACTAGAAGATATCGGGTTTGAAAGATGGTCAAGAGTACATCAACTTGGAGCAAGATATGGTTTCATGACGTCTAATAGTGCAGAATCAATCAATGCTCTAAGTCGTCATTCCCAAAAATTACTCATTACTATGTTAATGAAGTTTTTTAGAGCCTATATTCAACAGTGGTACTACAAGAAAAGAAACCATGCAGGTATTATTTCTTTAAATTTGTAACTTATCATATTTAATAGATTTTACTAAGTATTATTTATTTAAATTTACAGGAACATTGGAACGTCGTGTTACACCATGGATTGAAAAATATATAACGAAACGTGTTGTGAAGTCAACGTCATAGAGAGTTGAACCATGTTCAAACACTTTGTCTGAAGTCTTGGATAATGACTAAAATGAGCTTTTCAATCTAAATGCAAAGACGTGTAGTTGTATGAAATGGCAAACATTTGGTTATCCATGTGGCCATGTTATAAAAGTTGTTCTTCATCTAAACCAAGATGATTCAAGCGCATACGCTATGGATTGCTACACTACAGAAGTATATCGACAGACTTATGCCGAGATTGTCTACCCTATTCTACATCTTTCAGAGTGGGACATACCAGATGACTTACAAACAATTTTGCCACCAGTCATGGACAGAAGGCTACTTGGCCGACCAAAAAATCACGATCGTATACCGTCTAAGGGTGAAGAGAAGAAGATATTGACATGTAGTCGGTGCAAGGAAAGTGGTCATACAAGGTTGACCTATGGATCACCAGTGCCATCACAATAAT